TACCTATGTAAAATCCCTTTCCGGGCTTACTACAGAGAGGAAAATTGATTGCTTTCATTCAAAGTTTTTGATTTTATCACCAAATATGACAAAATGTAAACAGTTAATCTACAACTGCTAGAATATTTTTTAATTCTTAAATTATGATAAATAGAATCTTTTGTGCAACTTTATTGGCTTTAGCAAAAAACGTATGGTCTAATATTATATAGTTGGTTGTTAAAACCGCTATACGAAAAAGTTCTAGACATTTTTCAACAGTTCACCATTTAACATATGACAATTCTTAGAAACAAAAGTTCTTTAAAAACAGTTTTACGGGAATATGTATTTTTTAATCATAAAAGTAAAAATTCTACTTCAATTTTTCTGAATTAAAATTTACATATTATTATCAGTATCGACGCTATTTAGGTACACAGGTGTTATATGCATAACCTTCTACACCCTTCGCACAAACGCACAACTACACATAAGCACATTTATTACTCATATTATAATGATGTCACTCTGTTAAATATAAAATAACCGCACATCTATTATAATTGTGAAACGTGACTCATGGTCAGTAATTAAAACACACCAGTATAATTGTCTAGCACAATGATTGGATGGAATTGTAAATGTATGTTTCATATACAGAAGCTATTCGGTTTCCGTTCCGCTTAATAAAACTATATGGGAAAAATATGTTATTACCATTCTATCGCAAATTAACACTAATTAAAATAATCATCCGATGTGCGTCCGCTGTGGCGTCCACCCATCAATAAGCTAAAGCCTACATAAATTCCCACAATAATACATTACACAAATTATCATGTCCATATAAATAGGAGTGGGATCCATTGCTAAACCAGACGAATTACCAGACTCAACTAGTATACTACTCTGTGACAGATTGTCCATTTTTATGTTTTACAAGTGTTAATAAAAAATCAAACTTATATTTTAAAAGTCTTCAATTATTTAAAATACATCTTCCTGAATTGGTTTCGACTTTGAACAACAAATACATTTCTTAATAGTTCTGGTACCAGTAATCAGAACTATTACACAGGGCTGTAACTAATCATTATTCTTGCTACAATGATAATTACCTACCTATATCGATAGCCACAAATTATTTGCCAATAGAATAACATTAGTAATCGTTTAAAGGACTGCAACTCTGTACATCCGTTTTAAAATGTTACTTTTAATCACCATTTTGGTATCATAGAATGACCATTATCCTTACTTTTTGTATTTTAACTTCGACGTGGACCTTAATCAGGTCCACATCGCTATTGGTCTATTGGTTTTGCAACGATGTGCACTTATTTTTTTGTGTCTGTACCCACTGTTTTTTTTTGTTGGGTAAAAATATAAATTGGTAACAAAATTTCGAAATCAGCGTCTCGAAAAACATAGTTTGACCGCCTTTGTAGTCTTTTTACACTAGAATTCAGAAAAATGTGACCTAATAATGTGAATAAAAGCACAGAAAAATAGTATTTTTAATTTTCGATGCAAAACATGTTTTGTGTTGAGTTGTTATTTGTCAAATAAAGTTGAAAATATCTTAGTCGATAACACGTTTTATAATGTTTTTTTTAATTTTAATTGCCACTTTAAAGTATTCAAATAAAAAAACACTGATCCTATCAGAATATTCATATTTTACAAATTAAAATAATATCCCTTAATAATAATTATTATTTCATTCGTTGCAATCATCTTTTTTTTTTTACCATTCTTCTTGACAACATTATTGTTTTTACAATCAACCTTTACTTTGGTGCTCTTTCTGCAAATGCACTGAAGTAGACAACGAGATTTTGACAATCAATTGTTACCTTTTCACGGCCGCCGAACTTAAGAACTCTGTCATTTATATTTACAGACATGTTACTATCGCAGTTTTTTATTCCATCTTCAACGACTTCAGCAACATTGGCAGAGGCGTCCTCAACGGTCATCAAAAATGTATTTTCCATTCTTAATATTATATTTCCTGGAAGTTCATTCTCAACTGCTTTACTTACGGATGTTCAACTGCAAGTTAATAGAAAGGATTTATGAATAATTGTAATGGCAGCCAAAAATCTAGTGGTGTAGAAGCCGTGCCAATAGAGTTGTAATTTGTTCATCCATGAAAGTGTAATATTTTACAAAAATAATTGATTTAACAATATGTTTGTTATTATCGACGCAACATTAAAACATTACAACAATGTTAGAGTGATTTCAATTTTTATTTATTTCAAGAGTTTTAACTTGAACATTTTCCCAAAGATCTAATAACATCAACACTAAGGGTTTTAACTGTCTTAACTTATATTTGTTTCATTTTCATTAAATAAAATGCTTAAGTCTTGTATTAAGTTTTTACATGTCGGCCTTTTGTTCAAATGGAAAAAGTTCCTTCCTGCTTCTTAGTTCTTACTAAAAAAAGTTAAACCTAATCAAATGATCCTTCACTATTAGATGGAATTGCATTTATTCTACTTAAAATTGAACAGAGCAAAAGAAAGTGATGTCGCTCCCTTTCTCTATTAAATATTTACCCACAATATCCAAATAACATTGTAAAGACACACTTTCTCGATACCGACCCGTATTAAATATGATTACCCCCTTGTGGACAAACCAATAGAATAGAAGATTCAAATTAATGAAATACTTATAAGTACTTTATTAAACTAATTATAAGTAAAATGCTAGTCATGCTTAATAATCAAATTCTTTCTACAGCCATTGCAGTTAAGTACATCAACACCGCAGTTTTAAAAAACCATAACTATAAATAAATCATGGATCGAGTAAAATGCACTCTACGTACTACAACTGAAATTGTTTATAGTATTTCTTTTTGTTTATTTGGACTCTTAAAATATTTTCTAACCAGTTACACAGGCAACTTATACTTTGGTCTCCGCGTAACCTTGATTAATTTGTTTATGATTTGCAGTCATAAATAATTGTTCTTAGGTTGTGTTCCATATAATTTAATTTGATATATATTAAATTTGATTTGGTTCTTTCAATTTTTTCAGCTCAAATAGATGTCTATGTCTTGGACAAAGTTAAACTCAATTCTTTTAATATTAAAGGTAGAAGATGAATATGAGATAGGTAACAGAGGTGTAATTTTTTTCTATATTTTGATTACATTTTCCTAATTATCTAGTTAACTACTTTCGGCTTTCGTCAATTAAAGACTCCTAGTGGGAAAACGCAAAAAAATGTTTTTAAATTTTAAGTTATACGACTGTACAACATGGGTACATTTCAATCATAAGATTTTTAATTTTTAAATCATTGAACAACAACATAAGTTCTTAAATAGCACAATATGTAGAAAAAGTATAAATGCCTTTTATTGTCTCTATTATATATTAGGTATTAATTTTAACCACCTCTCAGCTTCCTACCTAAAACACTTTTATGTAAGGATGTTCCAAGAGTGGAAAAGTATTATTCAAATTACCGTAAGTACTTTTTTGGCTTCCGTTGATCGAGTACTGCAAATTAGAAAACATAAATATTAAGAAATGACAAAATTAAAAATATATAACAAGTAGTTCATTTGAATTAAAATACATGATTTAAACTTTAAAACATTGAACAACGTTTAGTTATTAGATTACAAAAATAAACAACAAAATGTAGAATATAAGATGTGTTGTGAAAAAAAAAAAACTAAAGAATTATGCATATTAATATTATATATAAATATATTATTTTTAATATAAATAATATTTTATCACATGTTCAGGACTATTTTATTTGTTAAAAACCACATTAGGCCAAAAAGAAGACTAGTTGATCCGTTTAATACATCGGATTGTGTAACAATATCTCTTATTTGCGGAATAGTGTATTCCACGACGTCAATGTCTTCTCCTTCATTTTCAACGCCACCTCCATCAGAAACTTTCATATGATCAGTCACTTCTGTGTAAAAATATGTTTGAGTTGTTCCTGTAATGCTTAAGCCGGATCTAGTGAAAAAACGTGAAAAAATTGAATTAAATAATTTAAAGCAATTATTTATTTCAAGTTGGGGACTTGCCTGCAACTAATGATTTTTTGTAAATCTGAAACTTTGATTTCGTAGCCACATTCTTCTCGTACTTCATCAACAGCTATTTCTTCTAAGGATTTGTTTTTGTCTACAATACCAGCACAAAATTCTACTGTTAACCCATTTGTAGGTGGATACTTCTCAGTATCAATTGGTCCTTCTGCAGGTCTATCAAAAGCCGGGATACATTTATAGTACACAGCTGAAACGTAAACATTATGGTGTTTTTATAATATTAGTAGCAATAAAAAAAAACATTTGTTGTATTACCCGGTCGAAATTGTTTCACACATACTAAAGTATTTCTGTTTCTGTTGTAAATTATAATAAAAACACTGCAAAGAAAAAACAATAATAATTACACGTTTTATTACTGTCCTTGTTTTATTTTATTTAGTAAACTTTGATAATGAATCTAAATATAAAAGGAAATATATTTTTCTGTTTGAGTTGTAATTACAAACATATGATCTTTAAAATTAGTACATTACAGTAGATTTTTATTTTCCAGTAAGAGGAGGGGTTAGATTGGTATAGACAAATTTGAAAAATTAGATGGCCTAAATGTAAAATAAAATATGAAAATTCTGTTTTAAATCAATATGGTATGATTGTACAATCCTTATGTACATGTATAATAATTCAACATCAAAATACTTTTACATTCATATAACTATTTAATTATAAGAACAGTTTCTTTAATTTTTAAATTATAATATAGTGTATACCATACTGTGTTCTAAATATATTTATGATCAGAAGTGTTATAATTTCATTTGAGTTTTAAGGGGATTGGAGGCAGTCAATGTTTTGGATATATTAGACCTAAAATTTTGAATTTTTCAAATTTCTTAAATTTTTTGTAATTACTAGTAATAGACAGTTATTAAAAAATCGACTTCTACGATTACCTGGAAAAAAGGTCGATCAGCTCAATTATTTGTATAGAATTAAATGTGAAATCATTAATGAACTCTGAGCTTAACCCAAATTTACCCGACAAATTTGGTTTAAAATGCAGATAATAAAGATTTTATGAAAATTATCAGCTAACTGAGACTTGTTTAAGGATCAAGCGACTAAGAGACAACCATAATATTATTCTTACCCATCGTGGCAATCCATCAAGTCCCATTTAATGTCTTTTTCTCCCTAGACATACGCATACATCAGGGTTGAAAAAAACAATGCTGCTAGGTATTTTTTTTACTTGCTTAAACATCAAAGAAAATGGCTTGATGTAATTCGACTCGGTGAATTTCACAGCCCTCATTTCACTAATTGGCTTCATAATTTGCTCAGTTACAATACTTATTTATCAATTAAACTTCGCTTAAAATTATAAATGTGATCAGCTGTCACTGTAGGGGAAATAAGCAGCTAATGAATTACTAGCAACTTTTTGGTATATATCTTAACCTTTGTTCGATGATGATGTATGTGCAACGTTCAAATTAGAACTAAATGATAAATTCAAAATAGTTTAAGGGTCTAAATTCTCTATGAATTGTTTGAAGCCAGTTATTAAAAACTACAATATTAGCCAGAAACTTGATGTTTTAATATACTTTTTTATTTTTTTAGTTTTAATATACTAGCCACTTTAGATACTGGCTTGTTAATATACTATATCATTATATATAATTCCACCACTACTCTAAACTTATATGGTACATCAACGAGACATGAAAATGTTCTTTCGTGGTTGCAGACTCGGCTGAAAAACTTTTTTTCGGTTACGTGCCAAAGCTAAGACATAAAAATGTCAAAAAAATTATTATAAACTATTCCAAATTACAATCACAGACTCCGATTGTCTTGTATTTTCATATTTAATCGAGGATGACTTCATAGTAACATGTTTTTGGATGTTCGACCTAATTTTATTGAATACAGGGTACTTTGGACTAAACTAAAATGTGACTTTTTGTAGAAATAAATGTTTCCTTTTACACAATAAAAATCCACGTACTGAGCTAGGTCTTAAACTTAATAAACATTTTCCTAAAGACATAAGTACATCAACAGTGTGGTTTTAAAAACCATAACTATAAATAAATCATGGATCGAGTAAAGTGCATTCTACGTACAACTGAAATTGTTTATAGTATTTCTTTTTATGTATTATGACTCTTAATATACTTTCTAAGCATTTACAATTTGTTCACAATGTGCAGGTGTAAATAATTGTTCCTAGGTCTGGTTGTGTTTTATGTAATTGAATTTGATATATATAATATATTTTATTTGGTTCTTTCAATTTTTTCAGGCATAATAGTATTTATCACTCACCAAATAACGCCATTAGATTTTGTCGATTCCTGGCTAAGTAGATGCCTATGTCTTGCACAAAGTTAAACTCAATCCTTTAAATAGTTAAGATAGAAAATGAATATGAGATAACAAAGGAGTAAGTTTTTCTATATTTTTATTATTTTCCTAATTATCTAGTTAATTACTTTCGGCTTTCGTCAATTAAAGCCTCCTAGTGGGAAAACGCAAAAAAAATATATCAAATTTTAAGTTATATGACTGTACAACATGAATACATTTCAATCATAAGACATTCAATTTTAAAACATTGAACAACAACATAAGTTCTTAAATAGCATAATTTGTATCGTGACTGAGAAAAAGTGTAAATGGCTTTTATAGTCTCTATTATATATTATTAAATTTAACCACTTCTCAGCTTCTAACATAAAACACTTTTTTAGTCCAAACCTTTACAGTCTAAACCAATCACAGTCCAAACTAGGACAGTAAGAAATTATCAAAGTTGGGTCCAGTATCCATAGATTTCTAATGCGAATCAGCTTAAAGTTTGTAGTAAAAGTTCCAACCGCATATGATTTTGGATCTACGGTGTTCTTTTCGAGTAAATTGATCCATAGAAAAAAGTTATCGTGACTTCAGATAAAAAATAAAAAAAAAAAAACATCTCGACAAAACCAATATCTTCCAGCTATCGCATCGAAGCTACGAAACTTGTAATAATTTATATTCCACTTAATATTTTAAATAAATGTATTTTGATTTTACTTATGAGAAGGTGTCGCACCACTTTTTTCGGCATGATAAATGTATCTCGGTCAAGACACTTTACTGAGGAACTGAGCGGGATTAGTGTAAAAGTACATCTGTATAACATTAAAAATTGAGACTTTATACAATTATTGACATGGTTGATTTTTGATTAAAAAAATGTTACCATAGATAGCTTTTGAAAAACTGTTAGTTCAACATACCTAACATGATAACTCAGTTTCGAAAATAGTCCAAGTCAAAACTTAGATAAAGTCAGTAACACAAATTAACTAAGTAATGGCTTGAGATCAATTAGGTCACGGGCTGAAGAGGGCAGTATGACCACTGTCTCGGTATCGATGCTCCCAGCTCATTGTCCTGTGTGTCTGTTGTCTACCTTACCTATAATGGCTGGATATTAGCTGCCCCCTACTTCATATAATCACTGATTATATGGAGGAGACATTGTAAATTAAATTATTATTATGAATTGTTTATGAATTGAAGTAAACAAGAGTTATTTTATTTATCAAGACAATTACAATAATAGTATGTTCCCATTTTCTGACATTATGGTAAACATTAAGGACGGAGAAATCGCGTAGACGAGAACTGGAACTGGAAATTTTATAAACATGATCTTTAAAAACAATATTAACTTCTTAGTTCTTAAACCAATGTCCCAAGCAACATACTGGCAACAGGCAACTTGCCAATGACAAGGGCTAAAATTATTGTCAACACAGTTTCAAGTTTACCAAAAGCAAACGGCGGATAGCAAACGCCGAAATGTGTTATCTTTTTTATCATATTGTTATTGACAAGTCTTATCTTGGTCATGATAATTTTACAGTGGGTACCACGGTATACCTTAATATACGGCACAATACCACAGATTATCTAATCTGTGATAATACTGTTATCAAATTTGTTATCTAGACTAGTCGAATGACCATGTGCGCGACATGTTGTCATACAATTAAAATTTAAATATTTTTTTTATAATAAGTATTAAATGTTTTAATATTAGATTAGTAATAACTACCTTTTTAAAGGCCAATTAGTTATAGCTACCTTTTCAACAAAATGGATCAACCAGAGCCAATAATCGGTAACATTTTTTTTCCTAATACCTATGTATTTTGTCTTGACAATTTAAATTGGAACAACCTGTATACTTTTTTATGTTGTTTATTAATTTGTACTGATTCGTTTTCAGCAATTAAAAACACCGACCAAAGTCCTCCAGTGGACGACCGCGATGGTGGTGATGTTGGCGAACCGGATCCGCTTGACATAATATTGACTGAAGTTCGAATGAAACCACGGGAAACTATCATGTAAGTTTTTACACATGCTTGTACACTGTTGGTCATTTAAATAAAAAAGCATCAGGATGGTTATAAGGTGTTGCAACTTTTATGAATGTTGAATAGCACAGCTACTTAAATGTCAATAAAAATGTAGCCATTCTTTTTGTAAAATTAAAATGACAAGTCACTTGTGGAAATATGTTTCTTATTATTTCAAGTCCTATCTACAATAATATTACACGAGCATGTATTTTTTTATGTTTCTACAGTATTATTATTTTGTTGTATCCAATAGTTCTTGTAAATATATTTTTCTCGAATAAACTAATAATCGTATTACGATACTTTTTCGAAAATGTTTGTCAATTTTCTTTTTAAAATTTACATTTAATAATATAGTATATTGCGATTACTAATATTAAATTTTTGTTATTATATATAGGTATATCATAGTATGATAACTATAAAATATAAATACAAACAAAATGTTTTCATGTAGGGTTTTTGTCTGTGGTAAATAGTGTTACGGACATCGTACTACATAAATGTGCAATAGTGCTCTAAAATTTGAATCAAAACTATTTATACTTCATTCATCCTTAAAATCAATATTTACAACCTTTTTCGAATATAATTAATATATTAATAATTATATTATTTAATCATAATATTATGGTAATGTGCTATGTAATGGTATGTTTGGTTGGAATCTCGGTCGCCGGATGTTTCTCTCGCTAGGTGGGTAATTGTCTCCAGAATACAACTCTTGTTAAGTGAAAAATTGTTAAACCGGCCTAAGGGTCTTAAAAAATAAAAAATATACTAGTATTTTTAAATTTTACGTAGATTAAAAATGATTATACCGTAATAAACTATAATATAACTATGTAAAAATGTATATTTTACTTAACATTTAAAAAAAAAAGTGTTTTGTTTTTACTGTTAAGGTAAACAAATTATACTTATAAAAACGTTATTATTTTAAATATTATTGTTTTTACGTTTGTAAAAGTAAACAACGAATTAGTAAAAATTCCAAACACGTTTTTTTTTATTAACCAAGTACCATAATATTAGTTTGATTGTCAATTGAAATAATGGTTTGATGAAATACTAATTTAATTTTTCAAAAAAGCTGTTGTTTGCTGTACATAAATGAGCAAACATTGTTTAATACTTTTTATGTTAAAAAAAAACATATTTTAATATTTATAGCTCAGATAGCAGCAGTAGTGAAGAAACTTCAGACAACGAAGGCAGTGTAATTTCAATAGCGTCGTCTAAAGACACGTATAGCGGTATACCAAAAACTAAAGGAGAGCTTTCTTTAACGGATCTGCCCCCCATTGAGGATTTATGTATTTCTGTCGAAGAAGAACAGTGCAAACCTATTGGGAGCATTAAAAGTATCGTCGATTCTTTAGGTGATTTTTTAAAAATATTTTCCTTGCTGTTAAAAGAAAAAAAAATTATAGCTATAATATAATATGTGTGTGTTTCAGTTGTTGTGGAAGCGTTCATTAATGTTCCGCCACTCGACATTGACTCCGTTTTGTTTGTCGACCGTGGGAAGCGCGCCTTAGGAAAAATATTTGAAGTGGTCGGGCCAGTCAACAAGCCATATTACACTGTACGTTTCAATGGTTCCGACCATGTACAAAAATTCAACGTCAACGTCAAGGAAACGGTTTATTGTGCACCTCAAACCGATTATACATCTTACGTATTCATTTCGAAAGTGATGCAACATAAAGGTAGCGATGCCTCCTGGAAGGATAACAATGAACCGCCGCCAGAGTACGTTGAGTATTCCGATGACGAACAAGAGAAGTTAGCGAAAAAAAATAGAAAAAGAAATAAAAAAACTGTACCGGAACGCCATGTACAGCAGCAGCAGCAGCCGCCACAGCCACAGCAACAACAAGAAATTCCTCAGACTCTGGTACGACAACAACAACCACAAAGCCCACAAGTTTATCGGCCACAGGGGAACGCTCAGTACCAACAACCAGTGCCGCCAGTATATCATCATCAACAACAACAACAACAGCCGTATCCGCAATTTCAACAGCAACAAAAATATCCTGCGTGTCAACCTCCGCAACAGTACGCTCAATCCTACCAACAGCCACAGCAATACCCTCCGTACCTTCAACCGCAACAAATATATCCTACGTATCAACAGCCGCCGCAACAATATCCCCTACAACAACATTGTCCTCCTCCTTTTCCTCCGCCGCAAATACAGCCGCCCCAACAATATCCACAGCCACAAGTACAGCCGCCCCAACAATTTCCAACATACCAACAGCCGCCCCAACAATATCCTCTGTACCAACAACCGCCGCAACAATATCCTCCATATCAACAACCTAAGGGGCCTTAGCTCCTTCCGGATTTAAATTTGTTGTTAACTTTTCACCGATACTATGATATAGTATTATGTATTACGTAATGAAATTATTTTATTTGTATAATGTTATCGTAAATAAGTAAGGAATTACAGCTCTGTCCCTCAATTTGTATTAATTGTACTTTGCTGTAGGGTATACAAATATGACTTTTGTAAATTAATTTATACTCGACTATTTTTATAGCTTTCCATCTTTATGTTAGTTAGGTCTACGACGCCCTGCCTTCCTGCTTTTTATAATAAACAATTTGTTTAAACAATTTTTTGTTAAAAAAATTTGACTGTTAATATTATGCTGTAGTCGGCTGTTGATGAATTTCCACTTTACACTAAGTGTCCTTTTATCGTTTAAGCTACTTGAAATAATACCCGACTAATAATGATCACTGTTTGACCACACAGTTACGGCATAGTTCCAAACCGAACTTGGTCGAATAAAACGAATAAGATAAAAAAATTAACGTACATAGTTTTAATAACAAGCATGAAAATAAATTTGAATTCATTGTGCGTACAACTATTATATTTCAGGTTCTCGTTAACTGTTAATTATGTATTACGTTTAGGAAATTGTTCTCAAACATTATCGATGGTATAAGTAAAAGTTAATTAAGCTAAAATTTGTAAACATATACCTATCATAATACCAATCTATTTTGATTCACTGACACATAGCAACCTGGAAATTGACGACGGTCAAAGTGTAATTCCCCCCCCCCCTTTTTTTTTTGGAGGACTCCCTAATAAGAAAAAAACAGTTTGACTACGGATTTTCGAGAAAATTGTATATGTTGTAGTTCCATAATAGATCTACATTCGGTAAAATGTTCAGACCTCAATCCTAAACACTTTGCTCGAAAAAGTGATACGAAGAAAAAATGTCTACGCCTTCTGGGGGAAAGAGTTTATGTTATTTTGTTGGTTTGTCAGTATTTATCGGTAGTACAAGTACTATGTTCAAAAAATATTCCATACAAATTAGGGTTGGTCCAATTGAGTACCTTGCGGGTACGATTTTTGATTTATGGAGATGCTACAAGAAGAAATCGGTTTAGCAGTTTAAAAGGCATTTTCATTTAATTAAACGAGCATAATGATGAAGTCAGTATATACTATACATAAGCCTTTGTCATATGAAGAGGTAAGTAATAGTATTATAAAAATAATTAAGTTGAATTGATCGTTTTACGATTTTCAATTAATTAAACATGTATTCTAAGCTGCTTTTTTTTTATGAAAATATTATACATTTTCTTTAAAAGAAAAAGTCATAATATTATTAAAAATAATATATTATTTGGTTAAAAGAACACATTTTTGGAAATAATACATTAAAAAAAAAACTTTTTCCAAAAGGTGTTACCTATTTCAAATTATATTTTTGACAAAGCGTAGTATTTCTGGCAATTTAACATTTTGCAAAAATCATAATGGTTTCTAAGGAGTTTTGTATAGGCAATATCGAAGTATAAAGAATTTTTAAGAACATTTTGACTATGTTAATTGATTAACCAGTTAATTTGTATAAGCTTCGGGGTATTATTTTTAATATTGCAGTTTATTCTAATAACCAATTTCGAATTTCTACTGCTGTTCGAAGACCACGACTGTATAATATGTTTTGATATAGTTTTGGGTGTGATGGAGAAAATTAGTAGATGTAATGTCGGATGTGTTTTACTATATAATATGATAATGTGGTCACTTTATTTTCTGATTGTTCAGTATGAATAAAAAAATTGTTATTCATTTTTTGAACGCATGGCTCTTAAAAAAATTAAAATAATAAAAGGACGTTTAAACCAACTTATGCTAACCGCACTTCCTCTCCTATCTCAACAGTAATAACTTAATAAATAATTTTCAAAGATTATTCAACTGCTCATTGACATCCGTCCCGTCTTCGGGTCCACTAATTTAACCCTATCGACTGTCGTTTCGGCCTGGCCTAGCCAAACAGAAACGTTACAATTACTATTCACTTATTACTAAATAATATATATTCAAATATTACAAATGACTGTATATTATAAACATTTTGCTTGTTGTTAAATTTCAGTAATCATACCTGCAGATTTATCAATAACGACACTCTACGAAGCTGACAATAATATTAACAGTGTAAAGGAACATAAGCAATATGGAGGTAATGAATTTTTTTGTAGATAAATAAATAAATTTCCAATTTTTTATAACTTTTTTACTTGAATATAATCTGGTAGAGTTTAATTTTATTTAAAAGCACATTAAATACATTTACACTAAGCTAAAGATTTCCAATTAAACAAAAAGGCCTAAGAATTTAACATTTTTTTTTTAATAAGGATTTTATCCCTGATTTTGAATTAAAAAGTATTTATTAATGGTAAAAGGGTTTATTATAAAATGTTTTTATAGATTGCATTCAACAATATAATTGTAATGGGTTGGCTGTACGTTGTCGTACTAAAAATATTTAGAATTCATTCGTATTTAATACATTTTAACATATCCTTAAGGTGCAGGTACAACAAATGGTAGCCATTTGATAGATATGTAAACTACCCCATCTTCGTTAATGACTTTCTGATCATTACTATTCTCATAGTTGCAGTCCGCGTGGTCAACGTTTATGAATTTAAGATCTTCTGGTGTTATATGACCATTAAATACACTTGAAAACAACTGTAAATAAAAAAAAAACCAATGAATTTATTTAACTGCATAAATCAGATTCAATTAATTAATTTTTCTTTTTATTCCAAAACTATAAATATCAAAAATCCGAAGCGATTGTTATTTTGTATTTACTTCATTTATGATTTCTTTGTCTAACGTCACTGATCTGGACATAAAGGCTATATAATGTGTGAAGCCATGGCCATTTCGTCTTTTTGCGCATACGTATACACCCGCATAGGATTCATAGTTAGTGTTGAACACAACCATAGACGGTTTCTTGTTTGCAGGATCTGCAAACAAGTATATTATACAATTTTCCAATTGGGTATCTATACACTGTGAAGTGGTTTATACTGTCGGTAGGTAAATTTAATGAAACGCTAAAAATCATTCAGCTTTAAACAAAAAGGAATTGTTGATTTATCGGGTGTAGCACAATGAAAGAATTCACAAAAATATTAAAAGAAAACTGTCAAATCATCGCACGAACTTGAGTAATCAATTCTAAGATCGGTAAAAGTCAATTGTGATGGTGAATTTGTATTGGCTTCCAATGCTCCAAACATGAATTTGTAATCGGATTTAGCTTCATGATCTGCCATATCATCGATTTTCTGTGTGTAAATATCATACACCAAACATCGAGTAACGTATAACGTCGTTTTTATGACGTACCATGGCCCTAAAAACTATAGAAAAAGCGACGGGTTAGAACGAGTACACGCAGGAGTTAGTTAAAACAATATTTCTAAGAAAGTTATTTTGTTGTTGTTTTTAAGAAATGTCAGCTAGGTCTATAAACAAATATTTATACAGTAACTAAAGATTTAGTTTCCGAACATTTTGTATGTCGACTCTTTTACGTCCTGACCTCGAAAAGTAGCTGATATACCACCCCTCCTACATCTCCCAATTATTATTTTCCTAAACACAAGTCAGTCATACTTGTACCAAGTTTATTTATTTTTATTTATCATAAAGTTCAATTTTACTGAACTTTATGATTTAATATTTGAGGCGTTTCAAAGTTCTGGCGGAACTAGCCGATTTACATACATTTGTCAAATTGTATTTATAGTTTTGGGGTCGCTAAGTCGGTTGGTAAAAATTCCGATAAAACAGAAACTTCTAACGGTGGGGATGAGTAAGAAGTGAAATGAACAATTATATATTATAAATGACCCACATTAGTTTCCTATATATATTTTTATGTAACAATAAATTATAGGCTTAAGTTAAAAAAAAGGTAGCTACATTAATTATAAATACAGTAAGGCTAGTAGATGCTTAACCAATGATAATTATTATGGTTAATTACCACACGGTAGTTAATTGTTTTATTTTATTATTTTATATCCTATCAAGTATCAAACGCGTTACTTCAACTTACTTTTTTCATATCGAAATCTTTCACAGGTTCTAAACTAAGACATTCATGTCCCGAAACGACATTCAAAGAGCTAACTAGCAACATACATAAAAGACCCAAGCCATTGAATTTCATCGTATGACGGTGTCTATAAACACGTAAATTGAATACTTTTAAAATCTAAAAAAAAAAAAAAATCATTGCAGTTATTGTATTGCAGTCAAGTTGTCATCTTGTACTACGTCTGATTGTAGTGTATTATTACAATTGAGAAAATTAGTAGATGTATAGTCGGATGTATTTCAACATATAACGTATTACTATGGTCATATAATTTTCTGATGCTCCAGTAGAAATAAGATAATTGTTATTATTATTATAATTTTTTTTTTTTGTGTAGCTTTTTATTTAGAAAAAAATAAAAGACGTCTAAACCAACATAACCTAACCACGCTTACGCTCCTATCATAACTTCAAAGAATTTTCAACAAGCCGTACTGTTTTTAACATTATTTTTAATTTAAAAAGTTTATGAAACAGGTACGTTAACAATTATTGAAAAAAAAACATAAAATTGCGCTTTTCAACAATACATTTTTTTATCCTAAAAGCAACGTATAAAATTTGACTGCAATTAATAATATAGTCCAGAGAAAGTGTTTTTCTTTTTTTTTTCAATTAAAAATTGTTATAAAATAAAAATGTTAAAATGTGTTTCAGCTGTAAGAAACTTTACGCAGATCAGCGTTAGGCACGAGATAATTAACAAATTAATTAAATTTAATAAAATATTACCTTCATTTACTTGTATTATTTAAAAATATTTTAAAAAACCAGTACAGTGAGATCGGGGCATAGTGGGGACAGAGCATAGTTGGGTCGGGGTATAGTGGCGACGGGGAGGTCAAAGGTTTACAGGAATTTTTAAATCTGAAAGTGATAAAATCACTTTCGAAAAAACGCTTCGATACAAATCGGTAGTTAGTATTTTCAAGCCAGTACAGTCCAAACCAAGCACAGTATAAACCAGCAAAGTTAGAAAGTATTAAATTGAGTTTCTGTATTTACAAATAAGCACCAAAGCGTTAATTTGAAAGTGATTTTATACAAGAGGACTAGTACAGTAGAGTATAGGCATAATGGAATCAAAGCAACGAGGGGACGGAAAGGTCACAGGTCTACAGGAATTATTATAAATAAAAGTGACAAAATTGAATAAAATGACTTTCAAATAAACGCTTTGATGCTTATTTGTAAATACAGAACCTCAATTTAATACTTTCTAACTTTGCTGTTTTATACTGTGCTTGGTTTGGACTGTACTGGCTTAAAAATACTAACTACCGATTTGCATCGAAGCGTTTTTTTAAAAAATTCCTGTAAACCTGTGACCTCCTCGTCGCCACTTAGCCCCGACCCCACTGTACTGTTTTTTTTTTTTTGCAAAAACGAAGTGGACCAAATAACACATATACAATGTCTTGTTAAATTTAGTTGGAATGGTGGACGATTCAAGTTTCAGCCGTTTGTACTCCATAGTTTAAATTATAATCGCTTATTCTCGATAAATTCAATATTTATGTATTATATACTTCCATTAGAGCAATCTCACACAAACTATTTATACATCATAGATTATATTATTTCAAAGTTCTGATATACATCTATTTTACTAGATTGACAATGTAGAAAACAAAACGCAACTAAAAAAACCTTTTCATAGATCCTTAAAATGTAAAGGGTGTGGTAGTGAAACGGGTTTTCCCATTTAAATACATTGGAAAATCGCCCGTTTTAATGCCCCCCCCCCTGTATATTAATTTCTTGTTATTTTCTAAAGAAACAATGAGTTTGTAACATTTAAATTAAAATTAAATCGTAAGCCGGGTCCACACAGAGGTTTTAAAAAAACAAAACAAAAACTCAACTTTTTTCTGTTTATAAAAAACAGAACTGTAAAAAAACATTTGTCCACACTGAATTGACAAAAAACCTTAACAAATCATGAACAAAAATTAAAATACTATGTTTGTGTTGGGTTTTTTTTCATCTATCCATTCTGAAAAGATCGTTTTTGTTTTAAGAATTACATTTTTTTAATAATTAAAATATTAATGTAGAAACTGACAAGAGATATCGAAGACGAGGAAGGTATACTAATATTGGGTGCTGGATATATTTATTTAAATGTTCAAAATAATAAAAAAATTAAAAAAAAGACGTTTTTGGGTAAGACCAACGTTACAAAAAAGAAATGTATATGAATCAATGAACTTTTAAAATATTTACGGGATGATGACATTGGTATAATATAAACAAGTTATTAATATAACTTGTTTTTATTTCTTAACACATTAATATTTAATTACATTTAACAATTAATATTTAAACACAATTTCGTGTCCACACCGAGCTATAGTGTTCATGAAAACAAAAACATCTATACAATTTTCCACCACGAACAGGACACGGTTTTGTTCTTAAAAAGTGGTACTTGAGCACAAAACTTAATAGTATCATTCTGCATAGATATACATAAAATTGTTTTAATGATTTGATAAAATTTTTTTTAAGATTTTAGGTGTGTTTGTTAAAATATACGCAATCTGCGATAACACAGTTTTCCGGCAATTAAAAAAGAACTGTAATGCCGAATTTGTTTTCCGTTTAATATGTTTGTAACGAAGTCCCTTTCGTATGCAGGTTTCTTATAGGTTTCGTTATGAGAACTATATATGTTGCGGTCGAGCGTGATCGGTTCCCAGGAGTGAGTGGTTTCTTGTTTTTGAAAATTAATATTAAAATCTCCTGTCAAGTATAATAAATGACGAAAAACCGAATGTAATATAGGTTATCAAGTACTTTTAAGGGTAAAAATGTATTTTGTAGTAATAAAATATAAATATTTTATAAGTTTTTAGACTTCTTGCAATATAAATTATCATAAAAGTTGAAAAAAAATTTGTAAAAAAATGCAAAAAGCGTTGAGAGGGGAGCCGGATTTGAACCCGGTCCACTCACTCTTGGGAACCGATCACGCTCGACCGTACCACATATAGTTTTCATAACGCGTTACATTTTTTCTCGGCTAGGTCTCCCCCCCCCCCACGCCAACCCGCGATAAGGAACTTATCCGATTTGCATCGAAGCTAAAAATTTCTAGTCAAACAAATAAACAAATTATTCAACGTTTTAGATTTCATTAGATTTAAAATACAAGAAGCAACTCAGCAAAATCTTTTGACTACTCAATTTCGAGTTCTAAAATTTAACTACGCTTGAATCATAATTATTCTTACTATCATTATTGTTTAAAGAAAAATCATTCATTAAAAAATGACGAGAGGAAAACACGGTTTTAGGGATTGTCAAATAAAGAAATATAAAATCCTTATGAATAAAGTTAAGGCTATTATACAAATTTTAAAAATATATATATATTTCAACTAGAGTTATACAAATTCTCAATCGAGTATTTTTTTCCACAATTTATTCAAATGACTTTTGCTCAAATACCATTTTATTCGAATGATGCTTTTATTCCAACACTACGTATTATGAAAAATAATTATCAACTATCAAATCGAATTTAGCATTTTATCCAAAACGTCCCCTTAAATATATTTAAGATATAAATGGAAAATAGAAATTTGTATCGCTAATACGTTTTTTTTAAATAAGAGTATTTGAAAATTTTACATTTTCCGATCGTCAAAGTATACTTACAACTTTTGGAGTTTGATAGTGCAGCTTACTAAACGGTGTACTGAATTTGAACGCAGAGTTTAAGCTTACGTGCTTTTTAGTTATTGGTTTTACACATCGATCGTCATGACGTATCATGCAGAAAAATTTGCCAGGCCAGCCTATGTGAATTTTTGTGAATTTGCATAGAAGGTAGCGTATGACAATTTATCGATAGACATTATATATTTATAAATGTATGTTTGATGGGTGTTTACCGTTTTTCTTCGTGGTGTGAATCTAACTTAAATAATAATTTATACATTTTTTATACATATGCTCTTTAACACATAGAGTTTTTTTTGCCTCGATACGATAACAAGAACTAAGAAACTATCGTTTTAATAATGATAAAAAGTATCTGTAGGTAAAATACAATTTTTTTTCCTGTTGTGCGACACTTGTATAGATCCGAAATCGTATGGAGATAATTATTTATCGGTAGGTCAAAAGTAAAATAAGTCGACTCTTTTATCCTAAAAACCGATAAACCCCGAAAAAATGTACCTGTTTTTCAATCGTAAACTTTGATTTGCTATACAGGGTGATTCTTTTATCACGAACCAGTCAATATCTCACTGGGTTTAATTAATAATCGAATTTTTTGTTTTCATATTGTTTTCATACAATGTGATCTCAATTTTGATATCGCAAAGTTCGAAAATAAAATATATCTAAATACTAGAGGGAGACACAGTTGTGGGATATTGAATAATGTTTATTTTTATCAATATAGTAATTATACAAGGTGTTCCACTGTCCACAACGATTCGACAAAAGAAATAACTTTTGTTCTAGTAAATATATTTAAGATTTTATTTGTTGAAATTAATTTATACACATTTGCGCTATAAGCACCACGTTTTTTATTGCACTTAATTATATTACTTTTTTAAATAATTTATTTTATTCTTTTTGTTACATTTTCAAAAAAAAATTAACATAGCCGTTTCATTAGGAATAATTTACCGAAAATTTTAACTAGTCGATAACCTTTCAATTACCTTTCAAGTTACTAATGGTTAAGGGGTACGATGGAAGCTGGAGTGCGCTGTGCGGTAGAGTAATAATATTAAAATATAATAGTAGAATATAATATAAAAAATAAATCTTAAAAAAAACATATTATACAATTCTATAGTTACACCAATTAATTCAAATTTAAAAGTTGAAAACAGTTCATGGACAAATCGGGTTTTTTTTGGTTTTCTACAATAAACAACGATACGATGACGTGCGTTTTGAATTCAACAGTGAATCAACAGTAAATTATTAATTAATTTTGATGTACATAACTCCCTCCAAATTACCTTCTAATGTGGTTTTTAAATATTTATTGACATCAAAAGCCCGAAGATTAGTTTGGTTAAATTTATAGTGGACGTTTTCCAGGGTAATTTGAAGGGTTTCTACATTTATGTAATTTTGTCCGCCCGACATATTCTGGAGTACTTTTTTTTCCTGTTCGTTGTCTACAGAATGGCTCATCATGTTCCTAAGGTCGGCCAATCTCATCGGACCATCTTCTGCCGATTATGTCAACAAGAGCGCTTAACAATATTGTTTGGCCAGTTTTAAAGACATTTTGGTAGCGCATGAAAGACCAACTGAGACCTAAAAGCAAAATTGTGTCGAATTTCAATTCTGTATAAAAATTTGAGCTCATCGGCCTTTTCCCCCAGGTTATTGCGCAAGTAGATTTTTGAATAGTTATTTAAAAATCTACTTTTTAGTTGACTTTGAAAAAGACAACGAAGTGAATACTAAAAATTTGCGAAATTTAAAGTAGGATTTAAACACAATTCTAATTGAAATATAACAACCTTGAAAAGAGGCTATTAAGCTTAAATATGTTTACCAAAATTTAAATCCGACCATCTTAAGTAGGTGTAATTTTGTCAAGCATTTAGATCTAAAGGACTCTCTAAAAGGACTAATATGCTGTTTTTTGATTTAGCTATTAGAAAATTAATTATATTTTTCAAAAAAAAAACTATAAAAAAGTAAAAATATAAACGCTTAGAGTAAAATTTAAAAAATGGCCTTTTAGCCCTCCTAAAGAAGATGTAAAATTTTTAACAAAGATAAAAGTATTTGAAATCGGTTCGGTAGACATTTTCGAAAGTGAATTCCTGTTATAATCTTCAATTGAATACAATTTGACACTTTCTGTTACCCTAAATATTTTACATACTTATTAAGTTAACTAACTTAACTTAACGAAAAAAATTGTTCCTTTGTAGGTACTATACTTCATCTAAAATGTATTCCATAAAATACTTAGTTTTTAAGCTTCAGACATTAATAACTCCATAATAATAATTAATATTAAGTATAATAAAATTAATTGTATTTTAACTAAAAAAAAATTGATAGATATTTGTTTGCATCTTTGTGGTACTAAACTACAATCTTGGTAAAATTGTCCAGTATTTAATGCTATTACTTTATGGATTATGAAGAAATAATATTTCAATAAAAAAACAAAATACCGATCCATTTGAACTATATGTTTACATTATCATTTGTATAATTTTAGTTTTGTTATTATTATATTTATGGTTTTTTTTCTATTTAGTACTGTATTTGGGTTAACACCAGTTATGTCAATAAATAAATATCGGTTAAGTACAAACCCAGTATAGCTTAAACCAGTAATGTTCAAACTTAGCACAGTGTTCACCAGCAAAACTTGTACATTTCCAACTAGTATAGTTTAAACTTGTAGTGTATTAATTAAGTTCTGTCCTAACCAGTACAGCTCAAACCAATCACAGTTTTATCTGTGCAGTCCAATCTAATACAGTATTATACTAAGCCCAATTATAAATTAGCATAGTGGTTTAAAGAGTTATTTTGAAAGTGATTTAATGCGTTTGAACTTGCTTAGCTCTTCCCCTCTCCCATCTAGTTAGGCTATAGATATAACATAGTACCTACATTTCATATACCTACCTAACACTTATGTACTTTTCTTGTAAATCACCGTCAGGCGTAGAAATAAATAAATAAAACAAAAATATTTTAGTTTTAACCATACAATACCACTAATGTTTCTAAAGTTTTTTCCAGACAAAGTATTATAATGTCGCAATTTTGCTTTGTCAAGTGAAAGATAAGACAATAAGCTAAGAGAGATCACATATAACACATTGTACCTTACCGATATCCATCTGAATTCAACTGGCACGACCAAAACTTTATCAGCAGAGTTAAAATAGGCCATTCCCAGCTCACACACTAATTTCTATTAAACAGGGAACCAAAACCATTCTGCTAAATTTGTAAACTCAACCTGAGCAATAATCATACAACAATAGATTTCCTGGTATACTCATTTGCGAGGAATCAGTATGACATCCCAAAAACAATAAAATATGCTTCTAAAGAAAATAATGCACATAAAATAATTATTAAACTGTACAAATTAATGTAAAATAAACTCAGAACAACACTTTTTGATGTTTAAACATTTTATTACTTCTTAGTTATAATTAATCAATTTATTTTTTCTATTTATACAATGTATCCTACACATAGGTTAATTACCTAGATGTTGAAACCTGTTTTAAACAAACTCAATAAATAAAAAAAAAATTATTATTACAATATCCCAAATCACAATCACAAATTCGTTGCGAATTCGATTGTCTTGTACTTTCATATTTGATCGAGGATAATTTTATAGTGATATTAAGAGCTGATTTAGTAAAAATGGAATGATGAAAAAATAGTTATTAGAAATAAAAACCAGTCGAAATTGTAGCATATTATTTATTTGACATAATTAATTGTTTTTATAATATTAATATAAGACTATTAGATTATTGGTTAAACTATAAAGATTAATCACAATAATTATAACATGTGAAGTCAAAAAATTGAAATAATTACATGTTTATGATAACAAAACTCTTTATAGAATAAGTAGACCAGAATTTATATAGCCTGATTTTAACACAATTTAATATTTTAATAAAATTAGCAGAAATTAAAATTAAAAAAAAAACAGCATGCAATAAATTATAGATTCTTGTTTTTAGAATAACGAATAAATGAACGTATTACATCAAAATCAGTACGTACAAATGAAAGTTTTACAAATCGCCTAAATGCAAAAAAACTTAATTCACTCTCTAATAAATAAATATCAAACTCACAACACTTACCCATAGCTCTTAACTTAAGTTTTCTATCTTGTAAATAATTTCCGGTAAACTTGTCAACAGAAAAGTTATCATTGGCGAGTTGAAAATATTTCGAATTAATTTCTTTTAGTTGTTTCAAAACGGTATTTTCAAGCTCTATGTTTTTTCTTACATCGGCTAACTTGGATACAAATGATTCAGAAAAGAGTTTGGCAATAAATTCTAATTCATTATCTTTTTCCAAATTAAAAATCTTTATAATTTCATCAAAATAGTTTTTCATATTCTCGCTAGACTTCTTTATCTGATCGATAGCAGGCACTGGCCATATTCCAGATTTTAAGCGTAATGCAATTTCTAACATGTGTTTCCACGAGGTGTAATGTATGACATATCTTATAACATTCACTAAAATACCTTGGCATTCGGCAACGTCGTTGGTCAGTGCCCCAAAAGATTTAAAGTCAAGCTTTTTGGAGCATTTATCATTTATTAGACGGTATATACTTTCTTGTTCCAATTGGTCGGTAATTTCTGCAAAGTCGTTTAATAATTGTCTCAAAACAGAGTCTTTTATTTTTGATGTCAAAAGCAAATGATCAAATCTGAAGTACGATGTACAATCTACGATGGTCATACATTGAGTTAAATTATAAAATCTAACTTTGATTGTCTGCTTGAGTTTGACCACAGAGGCATTGATTGTCTCGTGCGATATTATTGGAATAGCACACTCTTGCTGGGAATTAAAATATTCAGAATTAGTGTATTGGTCGGTATACTTGTTATTATCATCTCCAAACTGGCATTGTTGTCCAGTGAATTTTGCAAGTTGGATGGAAACTTTTTTGTGATCACTCAAAAGTCGGATTCGTGTATCTTCGTCGTTTAATATATCCTTTATGTCTTGTGAGCCCAAAATTCTCGAATACATGAACACAGACCATAACGGATCGATAGAATCGATATAACCGAAATTATATAAAATGTTTAACATGGCGATCACCTCTTCTTCGAATGAAAACACGCATTCTTTCTTGTCGTTAATAAGACCCTGTAACGCGTCCTTACCTTCTTCGGTCAACAGTGGTTCGATCAAATTCATATAATGACCACAATGCAACACATAACTACACAGGAGTCTTTTGTACACTTCTGTAACATCACTCGGTTCCACCGCTGACCATGAAAAAGACCAGTTCATTTTATTATAGTTCTTTTTCAATTCATCGTGAGAGTATCCCGTATCTATATCGAGCAATTGTTTATAGTGTCCTCTGGTTTTTCTTTTTGCATATGATCTACGTACACACGAATCGCCGTATTGCAAAAAACCCACTGTTAGTACAATTAGCAACACCAGAGGCCAAGAGAACGACATGACTTCGTTTAAACTAAAAATAATTTAATATTACCGGAATAATATGACAAAACTAGTTTTCTGGAAGTCACACAGGAGTTGTGTTTTTTGCAGTATTAAGTGGTATTTATAAGAAAAAAATTGTATTTTTTTTTTTTAGTTTTACCAAAAAGCCAACTTGCAATAAGATATTGTCACGGTGGAAATAAGAACTACAACAAGTCGGCGTTTTAGATAAACTGTTTATTATATTATGTAATGGCAGCGCGAAAAACACGAGAACAGAGAAAAGAAAAGTGCAATTTTGAATTGTACGTTTTGGACACGAAGGAAAAGGGTGTGTGGCCCAGCCCATGAGCATGAAATTTTCAAAAACTACACAACAGTATTTAAAGGTTATACCACATAATAACGGAACATGATAAAACTCAGAGTGGAGGGCACGGGAAGAAGGGAAACGCCGATTATCGCGAACAAATGCGGTGCAGCGGTCGAAGACCTTTGTCATGCCGTCACGTCGTAGACAGCTGTTGTTGAGTTTTTATACGGTATAAGGCTGTTCAATGTGTTTTAGCACTAGTGTAAATAATGTTTTACTGTCTGTGCAAAGCAACCTATGTACCAGCGTGCATAGGCGTGCGCAGACTTCAATTTCCGGTCGAGCTTTGAACAATATTAGTGCCCCAATACTTGGACAGTGCCCCTACATTTATTTTAATAGTAAACATACGTTCTAACTGTAAATAAAAAACTGGTTAATGAGCATACAACATATTTTTATTTCTAGACGCATGTTATTGAAGTTAAATACAAAAATTTCAATCCTTTAAAATCATTCAACATAAATAGAAATATGTTAAAAAATAAAACATTACCCAAAATGAAAGAAAATGTTAATTATTAAACCAATTAATAATTAAAAATGATATGTACGTATATTAATACATTATACATATAAAAATATTTACTGATGTATTATTATATTATAATAAATGAAGAATTATAAATAAATTCTTCTATTTTCCTTAGCTTTGAATTCGTCAATCACCATGTCAATGTCGACACTAGATGTTAGTTCTGATTCAGTAAACATTAATAATAAATCATTTAGCCGGTCTTGGAGCATAGTACTCCTCAATTTATTTTTTACTATTGTTAATTTTGAAAATACTCTTTCGCAGGAACAACTTGTAACTGGTAATACAGTAAAAAATTTTAGTACGGTGTAAAATCCATTAAATGAGTTTGGGTAATTGTTTGATTTTATCCAATCGAGCCATGAATGGATGGATTCATTATTATTAGTATTAATATCTGGTTTTATTATTAGTGGTAGCCGGTAAATATGTTTAGTTTTATTACACTATCACAAGTCACAACAAATAAAATGCTTATGATCTTCACGAACATATTATTATACAATATAGATTTTAGTAAAATGTATACGCAAATTTAACTATACAAAAAAAAAATTAGCCCCCTATAAAATGTCCGGTCGAGCCCAGGCACGACCAGCTCGCCCCGTGCGCACGCCTATACCAGCATGTTGCAAATGTAGCATATGTAACAACATGTGTAGACATTTTCGAAAGTGAATTCCTGTTATATTCTTTAATTGAATACAATTTCACACTTTCTGTTACCTTAAATATTTTACATCTACACATAGGTTAGTTATCTAGATGTTAAAACCTGTTTTAAACAAACACAATTAAAAAAAAAAAAATTATTATTATAATATCCCAAATCACAATCACAGATTCGTTGCGAGTTCGATTGTCTTTTTTTTTACATTTGATGGAGGATAATTGTATAGTGATATTAACAGCCGGTTTAGTAAAAATTGGAATAATGAATAAATAGTTATTAGAAATAAAAACCAGTTAAAATTGTAGCACATTATTTATTTGACAAAATTAATTGTTTTTATAATATTAATATAAGACTGTTAGATTATTGGGTAAACTATGAAGCTTTTCACAATAATTATAACATGGGAAGTCACAAAATTAAAACTATTACATGTTAATGATAACAAAACTCTTCATAGACTAAGTACACCAGAATTTATATAGCCTGATTTTAACACAATTTAATATTTTAATAAAATTAGCAGAAATTAAAATTAAAAAAAAAAACAACATGCAATAAATTATAGATTCTTGTTTTTAGAATAACGAATAAATGAACGTATTACATCAAAATCAGTACCTCCAAATGAATGTTTTACAAATTCCCTAAATGCAAAAAAACTTAATTCACTCTCTAATAAATTAGTATCAAACTCCCAACACTTCCCCATATTTTTTAACTTAAGCTTTCTATCTTGTAAATAATTTCCGGTAATCTTGTCAACAGAAAAGTTATCATTACCGAATTGAAAATATTTCGAATTAATTTCTTTTAGTTGTTTCAAAACGGTATTTTCAAGCTCTTTGTTTTTACTTACATCAGCTAACTTGAATACAAATGATTCAGAAAAGAGTTTGGCAATAAATTCTAATTCATTATCTTTTTCCAAATTAAAAATCTTTATAACTTCATCAAAATAGTTTTTCATATTCTCGCTAGACTTCTTTATCTGATCGATAGCAGGCACAGGCCATATTCCAGATTTTAAGCGTAATGCAATTTCTAAAATGTGTTTCCACGAGGTGTAATGTATGACATATCTTATAACGTTCACTAAAATACCTTGGCATTCCGCAACGTCGTTGGTCAGTGCCCCAAAAGATTTAAAGTCAAGCTTTTTGGAGCATTTATCATTTATTAGACGGTATATACTTTCTTGTTCCAATTGGTCGGTAATTTCTGCAAAGTCGTTTAATAATTGTCTCAAAACAGAGTCTTTTATTTTAGATGTCAAAAGCAAATGATCAAATCTGAAGTACGATGTACAATCTACGATGGTCATACATTGAGTTAAATTATAAAATCTATCTTTGATTGTCTGCTTGAGTTCGACCACAGAGGCATTGATTGTCTCGTGCGATATTTTTGGAATAGCACGGAGTTCTTGCAGAGATTTAAAATATTCAGAATTAACGTTCTTGTCGTCATACTTGTTATTATCATCTCCAAACTGGCATTGTTGTCCAGTGAATTTTGCAAGTTGGATGGAAACTTTTTTGTGATCACTCAAAAGTCGGATTCGTGTATCTTCGTCGTTTAATATATCCTTTATGTCTTGTGAGCCCAAACTTCTCGAATACAAGGACACGGACCATAACGGATCGATAGAATCGATATAACCGAAATTATATAAAAAGTTTAACATGTCGATCACCTCTTCTTCGAATGAAAACACGCATTCTTTCTTGTCGTTAATAAGACCCTGTAACGCATCCTTACCTTCTTTGGTCAACAGTGGTTCGATCAAATTCATATAATGACCACAATGCAACACATAACTACACAGGAGTCTTTTGTAAACTTCTGTAACATCACTCGGTTCCACCACTGACCATGAAAAAGGCAACTTCATTTTATTATAGTTCTCTTTCAATTCATCGTGAGTGTATCCCGTATCTATATCGAGCAATTGTTGATAGTGTTCTCTAGTTTTTTTTTCTGCATATGATTCACGTACACACGAATCGCCGTATTGCAAAAAACCCACTGTTAGTACAATTAGCAACACCGGAGGCCAAGAGAACGACATGGCCTCGTTTTAACTGCAAATAATTTAGTATTACCGGAATAATATGACAAAACTAGTTAATTGGAAGTCACACTGGAGTTGTGGTTATTGCACTAATAAATAGTTTTTATTAGAAAAAAATTGTATGTTATTTTTTAGTTTTACCAAAAAACCAACTTGCAATAAGATATTGTTTTTCGTTATTTATTTGTTTGTTATTGTTGAGTTATTATACGGTATACTGCTATTCAATGTGTTTTAGCACTAGTGTAAATATAATTTTACTGGCCGTGCAAAGAAACCAATGTACCAGCATGTTGCAAATGTAGCATATGTAACAACATATTTTTCGACGGTCATCCAGATTTTTTGTTATACAGGGTGTCTTGCCAGAATTTAATGTAACCATCTTGGGTTTAGATCGAAAACACTTAAGACTATATTGTTATAATTTATATTCATATTCATAATATTTATATAGAAGAATAAGAGCGGATCAGTAGATAGAACCGATATATGAAAGTATATGCTGCACAAACTCCTACACGAAAGACCTTGTCACCCAACAATAATCAGATGTATAATCTTACAACAAAACGAATAAAAGAACCTATCAAACTAGAATAAATATGTGAATATGATTTTTCATTAATTATATGTTGATGGGATACCCTGTATCGATGACACCGCCATCATAATAAAAAAAATGTGGTTTTGCATTTGTTTATTCGTACAATCGAGAAGACATTGTTTAAAGTATAACAAATGTACACCGAAGTGTTTTTATCTACCACATGTGGTCTTACAAACAAAAACTAGTTTTTACGATTTCAAATATTATCGCCTAACACATGTGGCTTAACAATATAAACGTTTTAAATTTTTTTAAATATTTATTTATTTATGATAGCTGTTGTGGTAACGGGTAATATTATTTTTTTTTTAATTTATAAATTTTAACGAAAAAAAAAGATGTTTCTATAATACTATATTTCACGGTCAAGCTTACAGGCAAAAATAAAAGTGTACTCACTAATTTAATAAATAAAAGTCAGCCCTATGTGGTCGGTACACAGTGGAGACGGAAAGTCGACGGGTCTTCAGGAGATATTATAGCTGAAAAGGATGAAAATAACTAAAATATGTTAAATTGAAAGTTAAACAATTTGTCTACTTTAACCTTAATCGTAAAAAATAAAAATATAGAACTTTTCAATTTTCAACTTGTCCTACTAAAATGTCGAGAAAAATGGCTACATCGCGTTGAAATTTATATGATATGTATATATATATAAAGAAAATATGTAGTTATTGTGTCCCCTTAAATAAAAATTATAAACATTTCCCGACCTTTCTACACATGTTTAGATTAAAAAACGCTTTTTTTTTTTTTTAAGGACGTTTATTAGCAAACTTACAATCTATACAGATATATGTACAATAAGTGATTATGCGATGAAAAACAAAAAGAGATGGGGCAGTGAGGAGGAGGCTCACATTAGAGCCACCTTTACATAAGAAATTTTAAATTAGGTTAATTTACATTAAGTAAGTCTCTTGACCAGTTTCGTTTGAGGCGTCGGTTTGGGTTGCCCGGAAGAGTTTTTGAGCGTAGCTGAGTGACAAGTCGGTTTGGATGGCATTGCATTTTGTAATGTAGTCTTTGGTAGTAAATAGATGCAGTCTTTTTGACTGTTGCTATTTTGAGGTCTTCGTGAAGGGAGTCGTTGGTGACATACCACGGGGCTTTGGTTACAATGCGGAGACAAATGGACTGGAACGCCTGAATTGTCCTTATGTTAGAGGTTTTTGCAGCACCCCAGAGCGCAATGCCGTATGACCATATTGGTAGGAGGAGGGATTTGTATAGAAGTAAACGGTAGGAAACGTTCTGGTTGGATTGAATGAGAGGTGTAATTATATGAAGGCGAGTATTTAGCTGTTTCCGTTTACTTTTAAGATGGGGACCCCATGTGAGCCTCCTGTCGTATAACAAGCCCAAGTATTTCGCTTCCCTTGCACGTGGAACAATGGTGTTGTTGAAAGTTATGCCGGGACAGTCATTTTGACGAAGGGTGAAAGTGATGTGGGTAGATTTCAATTCATTAATTTTTATTTTCCAAGTTTCACACCACTTAGATAGTATGTTGAGGTGAGATTGCAGAAATTGACCACAGATAAACGGATCTGGATCGGCAGCTAGTATTGAAGTGTCATCAGCGTAGAAAAAAAAAAAAACGCTTCTATGCGAACAAGTGGGTAATGTGCTGGTTTAGACGGCGCGGGACTTGGTTTGAACATAAAAGTTTATGACACCTAGTTGGGTCGTTGCATGGTGGAGACGGCAAGTCACAGTCTTCAGGAGATAGTACAACTGAAAGTGATAAAAATCACAAAAAAACAAAAAAAATTGATGCGAATTTAGTGATTTAGATTGCACTTGGTTTGGAACTGTCCTAGTTTAGTCCGTACTGGTTTTTACTGTACTTGTTTATTTTTTGTTTGTTTGTCGGGGTAAAGTATTTGTACTATACATAAAGAATATCTTACACAAGTTTGAAAGTAATTTGATTGAAGTATTGTTGACATGAAAAAGTAGATCTAGGGATAAATTATTATAACCCATTCTTTTGTTTGAGTTGGATTACACAAGAAGTCTAATTATAGTCATGGTGTTGACGATACAAATAAAATGTTTACTATATTATACATCTGCGATTTCTGCAACCACAACTACAACTACAGCTAATTGTTCACCAAACCTATTAATATATTAGTTAGTAAAATACATTTTAATTAATTGATTTGATGTTTTTGAATATTTGTAAACAAAACATGATAAATGATAAAATGATAAATAATCCAAAAAATGGCCCTCATATAGAACTGATAATAGAGCTGATTGATAGTAATATTCAGTAAAATTTTAGACATTAAGTCCTAAAAATTGAAATAAAGAAAAATTTCTTGGGGAAAGAGTCATAATTTTTTTATTTACAGTTCGGTCATAATCTTCGCATCGAAACCGGGAAATTAAGAAGTTTGTGTTTCTCTTTTCAATGTTTTTATTATTTATAAATATTCAAAAAATGAAATCATCTACTAAAATGCTGTAGTTCTATGCGTGGTTAAAGAAATCTTCGGGTAAATTTTTAAATATTATACTACAAATTTCATTTGTAGTTTAAATTTCATTAGTATTTCATGTTTTTCATCGTTTTATTATTGTTATATTTTTGAGTTTTATTTTCAAATTATAACTAATAAAATTGATACCTACACGACGGTGCTAAAACCATGTCTTACGCTTTTTCAGTCATTTGTGTGTTTGAATTTTGAAGGAGTCTAAATTTAGTCATCATGTTGATTATAAAGAACCGTTAGTCGTATGGAGCCAAAATAAGATTTATTAAAAAAATAGTAAACATCAGACTCAAAACCCAACGAAATAATATTCAATAACCTTGAGTATGCATGTGTTATTCGCCGTTGTGTCTCATTTAAACAAATATAACACGATGTAGGTATTCGAAGAAAAAAGATACCAGCATTGTTATCACAGCTTGTTTGCTTTACAAACAGTATAAGTGTAAAAAACATTATGAAGATTACCGACTGTACTCGATGGTTATTATAACAAAAAGAACTTTTTCAAATTTTGACCTAAAATCGAATATAACCATATAGGCAAAATGTTAGTTTGGAGTCTGATGTTGACTATTTTTTTATGTTTTTAATAAATATTATTTTGGCTCCATACGACTAACGATTCTTTATCATCAACATAAAGACTAAATTTAGACTCCTTCAAAATTCAAACACACAAATGACTGAAAAAAGCATAAGACAGGGGTTTTAACACTGTCGTGTATCGATTTTATTAGTTATAACTTAAAAACAAAAAATATAACATATCACTATAATAAGACGATGGAAAACATAGAAATGAAATTTGTAGTATAATATTTAAAAACGTACCCCTACGATTTCTTTAACCACAGCTAAATCTACAGCATTTTAGTAGATCGATTTGATTTTTTTAATATTTTCAAATAAAAAAAAACATTAAAAAGAGAAGCACAAACATCTTAATTCCCCGGTTTCGACGCGAAGGTTCTGGCCGAACTGTAAATAAAAAATATATAAACCCTTTCCCCAAGATACGAAATTTTATTTCTATTTTTGGGAACAATTTTAGGGCCTAATGTCCGAAATTTGACTGAATGTTACAATCAATCAGTTCTATAAGGCCACGTGTTTTATTGTTTATCTTTTTAATTTATCTTGTTTTGTTTTACAAATATTCAAAAATATAAAATCAATTAATTAAA